TAATGGTGCACAATCCACCTATGTATTCTCATTTAAATTGAGTCATCAATTCAATTTCAATATTTGGGGTATTCCACAAAATGTTTTTAACAATAATTATTCATACTTTTCAGCTAATAGACAAAGCAGCCTACATAATGCGGGAGTATGTGAAACACAGTCTTTATGACCGCGTATCCACACGCCCATTTCTCACCGTGTTGGAGAAAAAGTGGATCACGTTTCAGATTTTGTGCGCCCTGAATCAGTGCCACAAGCAGAAGATCTGCCACGGAGATATCAAGCTGGAGAACATCCTGATTACCTCCTGGAACTGGATCCTGCTCTCAGACTTTGCCTCCTTTAAGCCCACATATTTGCCAGAGGACAATCCGGCGGACTATACGTACTTCTTCGATACGAGTAGAAGGCGAACCTGCTATATTGCACCCGAGCGATTCGTTAAAACCCTGGCCTCCGACGATGATGGTGGTAATGGCAATATGTCGGTCATACACACCGATTCCATTATTCGCCTTGCTCCTAGCTATGCGGGAAACACTTTGTTGCCAGCCATGGACATCTTTTCGGCAGGCTGTGCCTTGCTGGAACTCTGGACAGAGGGCACTGCGCCGTTTGAACTCTCACAGCTGCTGGCTTACAGGCGCGGCGAGCGAGATCTGGTGGAGAAACATCTGGCTGGCATCGAAAACGAAAGGTTGCGCAATCTGCTGGCCTCCATGATTGACATCCACTCGATGAACCGAAAGAGCGCCGAGGACTACTTGGATCAGGAGCGCGGTCAATTGTTTCCCGAATACTTCTACTCCTTCCTGCAGTCGTACTTGCAAATGTTCAGCTCAACACCGATCATGTCGCCGGATGACAAGATTCAGTGTCTGCACAAGGACATTGGGCACTGCATAAAAGTGCTGACCCAGGCCCAGGATCTGACTCCGGAAGAGGAGGAGAAGAATGAAGAGCTGGAAAAGAAAGATCCCACGTTGTGTGCTCGGCTGCCACCGGAGCATGATGGTCTTATTCTGATCATCACGGTGGTCACATCCTGCATCCGAGGACTCAAGCAGTCGAATACCAAAATTGCAGCCTTGGAACTTCTACAAAAGCTGTCCAAGTACACAACATCCGAGACCATCCTGGATCGCATATTGCCCTATATTGTGAGTACTTTATTTTTCGATATTAATTAATAATTCTCATATGCCCAAAAATCTTTTTAGCTCCATTTGGCCCAGAAATCGCCAGCCAAGGTGCAAGTACAGGCCATCGAAACTCTGACTGCCTGCTTGGGCATGGTGAAGGACATTCCGCGCAGCGATGCCAACGTGTTTCCCGAGTACATCCTGCCCTCCATCACAGATTTGGCCAGCGAGTCAAGTGCAGTGATTGTTCGCGTGGCCTTTGCCCGGAATATAGCTGCACTGGCAAAGAGCGCTGTCTACTTTCTGGAGGAAACGCAACGAAATGCTCCTAACGATATGCCCACTCCACGTTACGAGGCAGAGCTGAACGCCCTCCATGACATAGTTAGACAGGCAGTGCTCAGTCTGTTGACGGATTCCCAGCCGGTGGTTAAGCAAACACTGATGGAGTCGGGCATCTGCGATCTCTGTGCTTTCTTTGGCAAGGAAAAAGCCAATGATGTAATACTCTCGCATATCATGACGTTCCTTAATGACGAGGACAAGAATTTGAGGGGAGCTTTCTACGACAACATCGCCGGAGTGGCTGGCTATGTGGGCTGGCAGGCGTCGGACATTCTCGTGCCACTTCTGCAGCAAGGATTCACGGATCGCGAGGAGTTCGTCATTGCAAAAGCTATTCGTGCTGTGACCATTCTCATCGAACTGGGTCACATCAAGAAGCCAGCCGTTACGGAAATTGTCCAAGAGACAGCCTGTTATTTGTGCCATCCAAATCTATGGGTTCGCCACGAAATCTGCGGCATGATTGCCACCACGGCGCGCAATCTCAGCGCCATCGACGTGCAGTGTAAGATTATGCCGGCGATTGGCGCATTTCTCAAGGCACCGCTCATCCAGGTGGAGAAGCCGCACATCCTGCTGGACTGCGTGCATCCGCCTGTGCCGCGTCAAATCTTTGACAGCGTGCTGCGCTTCCAGGACATCCATCACTTTATCAGGGCGCTGGAGGCTCGGTCACGTGTTCGTAGTCAGACCAGACAGGGAACTCTGCCGCAGTACGAGGAGATGGGACAGACCCTGCGCAATGTAAGCGGATTAAACTAGAGCTATATGCCCTCTAATTTGTACCCTTAACTTGCAGCTTTTTAGACGCCTTAGCTCCGAGGGCTTAACGGATCTCATTGAGATGCAGCTACTGGCCATGAACCCGTTCCTAATCTCCATGAAGCACAAGGCCCTCCAGGACTTGGACGACACCGCCTCGGGAAATGGACGCATCGTGGTCAGTCGCAAGCAAGTCGCTTGCCATGAATATCCGCTGGCAGACAAAGTTAGCAAAATGCCCCTGGAGAACCGTAAGTAAATGATTTATATTCTGGGTTTCATTGGTTAAACAAGTCCACTAAATTACTTCATTTCACTCTCCCTGCTCTTAAGTTCGAAAGTAATCGCTTGTTTGAATTTCTCAGTTATTTTTAGTTCTGGATTGTGGGAATTTATTCGCTGAAGGATAAAATATCGGGAGCATGAACCAAATATTATTAAACCCATATTTAATGTCTTGTTTGCTTATTAATAACCTTGTTTGTTTTTCGATTTGTTTTTCTTACGTGATCGAAATAAAATTATGCTTACATAAACTTACATGCTTACCGATTTACCTTTATTCTCTTTAGGACTAATGTTTATCAATGAAGAAACAAATAAATCCTTGCTTGAAATAACGTAAATTACTTTGCAGGATCCAGCGAGGGTCCAACTTTAGTTTCGCCCGCCTCGGATGCAGCTATCACTCCGCTGGGAGCTGGCGGACTGGCCGGAAGTCCGGCCTCTGGAGCCGTGGTCCTTGGAGTGCCAACCGCCACCGTGAGTGCGGCCACTTCGCTGGGTGAATACACAATGCCGGAGCGAAACTGCTGGCTGGAACGCTCCTCCGAGTGCCGCAAGGATCTCGAATCGCTGACGGCCAAGATCAAGAGTCGCTACAATGTGTTGGCCATCTCGCAGCGCTGCAGCTACGACAAGCTGGTGACACCCTACCCGCCAGGCTGGCGGATGACCGGCACTTTGGTGGCTCATCTGCACGAGCACTCGGAATCGGTGATCAAGCTGGCCTCCCTGCGACCACACGGATCGCTCTTCGCCAGCGGCAGCATTGACGGCACTGTGCGATTGTGGGATTGCAGCAAACTGAATGGCAATCAGGGTGTAAACAAATCGAGGCAGGTTTATTCGGCCAATACACCCATCTACGCACTGGCCGCCTGCGATAGCGGACAGTCGCTGGCGGTGGGCGGCAAGGATGGCAGTATGCTAATGATGCGAATCGATCGGAACTCCGCCAAAATGACGCTCCAACAGGCACTAAATCAAAAGTAAGCTGCCTTTAGTAACTTAGATGGTATATACTTTATTACAAATCGTTTCATCCGTAGTGATCACAAGGACGGACCTGTTGTGGACATGCACGCCTACGACCAGGCCACGCAGAGCGTCATCGTGTACGCCACGCTGTATGGCGGCATTGTGGCCTGGGACACACGGATGCAGCACAGCGCCTGGAGGCTGCAGAATGAGCTCCGGCATGGGGTGATCACAACGATCTGTGCGGATCCGACTGGATCGTGGCTGGCCACCGGTACCAGCGGTGGTAAACACATCTGTTGGGATCTACGCTTTCGTCTACCCATCGCGGAAATAAAGCATCCAGCGGATTCGTGGATACGCAAGGTGGCCTGCCATCCCACAGAGCCCTCATACTTGATCTCAGCCTCGCAGTCGAACAACGAGGTATCCGTGTGGAATATAGAGACGGGACAGCGCCAGACGGTCTTGTGGGCCAGTCCGGTGGCGGCCTTATCCAGCGTCAGTCCCAGCGATCCGGCCACCACCTGCGGCATTCTTAGTGGCGTGGTCGATGGCTCACCCTTCATTCTCACCGGCAGCTCGGATCAGCGGATTCGGTACTGGGACATTACCAATCCCAAGAACTCCTCACTTAAAGTACCTGCTGCCAATGACAACCTGGCAGATGTGGCTTTTAACTATGGGTAAGTGTTATTGTTATTATAGTTATAACCTAATTTTATCAATCCATGCATCTTGCAGTGCCCGATTAACCGATGGCAGCCAGGTGATCGAGGAGCAAATCATTTCCATGGCCAGCACGGGCGACTCACAGCAGCTGCGCTCCTCCACGGAGGAGAATCCCCGCTCCGGACCGGATATGCCAACGGCCAGTCACCACGATGCCATCACGGACCTGCTGATGTGCAAGGACAAGGGCCAGATTTACATAGCCTCTGCATCGCGAGACGGTGTCATCAAGCTGTGGAAGTGAGCGCCCACTAAATAGTATTTAATTATTCAACTGTGATTAGCCTAATAAATATGCAATATGTGTAACTATTTAATAAACTGTTGCTTCTGTACTGTACTCATTCTTTTAAATAAGTAAATGCGACACACTATTCAAATATAGTAGGCCAGACGTCTTATGTAGTTACTTCAAACTTGTTCAACTCAACCATAAGTTTACTTAACTTAGCTGTTCAAGCAACTACGAATTTCAAAGAAATCATTTTAAGTTTTGCTTAAACATCAATTTTGTGTTTTTCGTCCAAGAAACAACGAATTTCAAAACAATTTTTTTATTTTGGTTCGTTTGTTAGTTTGGTTCGCCGCATTTTTGAGAAAAAACATTTTTACCACCAAATGTAAGTAAAATTGTATAACGTCCAAAGTTTTGTCTTAGTATTATAGTTAATAAAGCGAGAAAACAAAAAGTTAAAATTCAATACAGGCGAATGCAAATAAGGAAATGCATTTACGCAGTTTTAAATCGATGCACCGCTTTGCATTGATAACACGCAGAAATCGATAAGCATCGCAAAAAATTATCGGTGCTCGATGCATCGGCGTATTTTTTACATCACTACCTTAAACTATACTAGCGTGCGCGTATTTTACAATTACGATTTGGAGAGACAAGTAAGCAACGCAATTAATTCTTATTCGGCTCTAGGCAAACTAGAATTTTTAAGAATTTTTTTAGAATTTTTTTCGCATCATTTAGGCGCATTCAAGCCCCGATGTGAAATTGTTTTTCTGTATATTTTTCCAGCTCGATTTTCGGCAAACAAGAAGGCGAAGAAGAAGACCAAAGCCAAGCGAAAAAAGTGAGCGTGTGTGCGTAGAGAGCGTTACAGCAAGCAGCCGTGTTGGTGTTTTTTGCGCGAGAGAGAAAGAGAGAGAGAGTGCGTGTTTGTGTGTGTGTGTGTATAGGGACGCCGCTAAAAAGGCGCAGAAAAAAAGAAGCGAAGAAACAAGGATTTTTTCTTTATTCGCTCGCTAATTGACTACCGTACAGCAATGGAGGAAGTATCGATAAAGAAGCGCGGCCGACCGCAAAAGGCGACCACCGGTGGTGGATCCTCATCAGCGGCGTCGGCAGCAGCCTCGCCGGGCCCCAAAAAGCGCGGCCGTCCCTCCAAGAATAAGGGCTCCAATACGTCCAGTGGTGGCGGTGGCCAGCGTGGTCGTCCCGCTAAGGCGTCCAAAATCCAAAATGACGATGATCTCGAGGACGAGGAGGAGGAGGGCTCCGGCGCTGAGCTTGGAAACAACTCATCCCCCTTGCCGACGAAGGGCAGGGGACGCCCCAAGAGCATTGGTGGCGCCGGAGCAGGAGCTAGCGATGCGGTCAAGACGCCGGGTTCCGCCAAGAAACGCAAGGCCGGCAGGCCCAAGAAGCACCAGCCCAGCGACAGCGAGGATGAAGGTGAGCTAACCGTGATACAGTAGTACCCAACACGTTAAATAAATAAATACCTCAAGTAAATCGTCCGTGATTAATGCATATTCCGTAGATGAGGTACAAAATAAGCACCAAACGCATGAGAATAGCTCATTATTCTAACTCAGTTCAGTAATCTTTCTTCCAAAAGCAACCTTTTTTACTTAACTTTAGAGAAAGAGTGTGTATCCAACTTGCAGAAATGCCTTTGCAATTTCTATACTTCTTGTATATAACTTCTCTAAAAATGTAGATGCTGATTAGCATATCCCTATTCCAGTTTTGGTAAAAAAAAATTAAAATTCACATTTCAAATCCTAACTCTATATGTATGTCTAAATTTCTGCATATGTGTTTCTAATCTTTGATGACAAAATATGTAACTTTCTGAAGGACAGCGATGCACTATGTTTGGGTCCTATCCATTTTTTTCATACATCACAGGTAGAGTCGATTTTTCCAACCAAACAAACAGTTGCTAATCAACCAAACAAAACAATGTGTATATAATCGCTTAACCGCTGTTCCTCCACTAGTAATACTTCTAATACATTCTAGCAATCATATTCACGATTTTATGATTTCATTAATTAGTCTTAACTTGGTTCTTTCAATACAGACGTGCAGGATGATGATGACGACGGCAGCAGCAACGAGGAACGTCGCCCAGTGGGCCGGCCTTCGGCTGGTTCCGTCAACCTGAACATAGCGCGCACGGGACGCGGCCTGGGAAGGCCCAAGAAGCGGACAACCGAGTCCAATGGCGATGGGGAGCCACAAGTGCCGAAAAAACGCGGTCGCCCGCCACAGAACAAGTCGGGTGGTGGCAGCATTGCCTACGTGCCCACCGGTCGTCCACGTGGTCGTCCAAAGGCCAGTGCTGCGCCCGTCGAGAAGCAGGATGATGATGATGATGATCAGGACGATGAGAATTCCGTGGAAGAGGTGCTCAGCACGCCGGAGAAGTCTGTAGTGGCGCCAAAGAAGCGTGGACGTCCCCCTCTTGGCGCCGCCAAGGTGCCAAAGGAGGGAACACCGAAGCCCCGTGGTCGCCCAGCGAAAATCATTGACGATGCAGATGCAGATGCGGATGCAGACGCAGATGCAGATGATGCTGATTCCACCGACCAGGCTGAAAACAACTCAAAGAAGGAGTCGAACGACGAGGACCACACCTTGGATGGGACACCAACAAAAGGAGGAGGTCTCAAGTGGAACTCTGATGGCGAAAATGATGCCAACGACGAATGTGTTTCGGATGCCTACAATGATTCCGAATCAGTAGCTGCCTAAAGCAACAAATTTATAATCATTTCCAGACACACCCACCCTAAGAATTAACAAAAGAAAAGAGAGGTGGAAAAGAACACAAAAAACAAAAACAGTCAGTAAGAGAACCTCCTAAAACTACACACTATCTACATACATATTCAAATTGGATTGGAATTTTCAAATAAATAACATATATGTATTAGAGAAGTGCTGCCTTTTTTTTCTTTTGTTTAAGATTTTAAGAAACATTCATAGTTGCAGTGTAAAACACTGAACTTATTGTAACAAGAAATTTCATTTGATTGCAGCCATCACAATCTAATACAAGTTTAAATAAAAGTAATTTACCTGAATTTTCTTTATTATTTTAGTTTGATTTTATTTTAGATTCAAAATAGGAACTAACGTATTCCTTATATGCGGTGAACACTGTGTTTCACAATATATGGCCACACTGAAAAACGTGAATTTTTTTTAATGGAAATTGTTCTAATGCGATTTCAACAGCTTTATAACTAATGTAACTAGTTAAATGCATTACAAAACATAATAAAAACAAATTCATTTGTGGTATAGCGGTATTTAACAAAAAAACAATTTAAAATTGAAGAGAATGTTATATTTTTGGTATCTTAGAACGATTGGAGTATTTTTTAGTGCGTTTCGCAATGGTATATTTGAACAGTCGCGCTACGGTCACACTAAAAGTTCGCGCGTAAGAAGAAGCAGACCTAGAACGGCGTGCTTGTAATATGTAAATTTTTCAAATAAGCTAAGGTGTGTGTACCCAACAACAATAAAACATGAAAAGTGTTTTAAAACCGCCATCATTTGATGATAGTTCAACAACAGTTCTTACATTTCCGATCGGCCGTTAATCAGAATCACAATTGCGGCTGCAAAAAAAGATCAGAAGTTGATAAAAAAAAAGCCGCAAACAAAAACAAAACAAACACCCTGGTGCGTGTGTATGTATGCGCGAGTGTTCGGCTATGTGTGTGTGTGCTTAGTGTGTGTTTGTGTGCGTCTGGCGTCTAATCAAATTTGGCATGCCCCTAAAATCGATTGATAAATAATATATAAACAATTTGGCTGGCGCAGCGTAATTCATTTGCCAGGGTGAATATAAGAAAGGGGTTGATGGTAAAAGAACAAGAAAATGTGTAATCAATTTATATAAATATTTTGCGCGCATGTTAATAAAAGTAAAATAAATTGTCGGTCTTTTGCGCTCACACCCCCGCTCTTTGTCTCTCTTTTGCTCACTGTGGGCATGCTCACTCGTTCTCTCTGTTGATTTCGCACGTTTGCCAACACTGCTCTCATTTTGGGGTTCTTGTTCTCTCCTCTCTCTCTAGCTCGCTCTTTGTTGTAGTTGTATTTGGCCAGTGTGTCTTTGCATTTCGCTTTTATTATCGTTCTGCGACGGACGGCGACGTTGAAGAAATTCCTGGTCGATTTCTTCTTCATCATCCTGTGTAAATAATTGTAATTTAAATAATCTAAATTTCGTATTTAACGAAAGCACACACACACACCATCAAATCAAAGGAAATGCAATCGAAAAGGCTTTTTTAAGTGCATGTGTAAGTGTTTCAAAAAGGAAAGAACGGAACACACAAAAAAAAAAACAGCTAAAAACCGTAAAGTACTCCTGTTTCGTTTTACATGGCCATCATCGGGTTTCCTTTTCCATTTCGGCGGCATGAGTGTATGTGTGCATATCCAGACCGCTTTTTGTATATATGCAAACATGTATAAATAGTTTGCGAAATTAATTCGTATTTTGCCCGAAAAAGGTAAAAATCAATTAAGTGTGTGCCTAAATAATTGATGATTCCTTTTTTTTGTATTTGGTTGGTGAACAAATTTTTCCGATTGTGCGTAAGTGTGCAAATGTGTGTTTCATTATTTCCTTATTCCATCGTGTTCTTCCTTTTGAGCGGCGGCCATTTGGCTGCTCTGCTTCTTCCTTCTCCCCCACCCCCCATCCTATTCAGCTGCCTTTTATGTGAGTGTGTGTTTAGTGTGCGTGCTCTCTCGCTCTTCCTCTCTCACGGGACGCCTTGCATTTGTATATACGTGCTTTTCCCAATAAGAATGCCTAACTACCAACTAAAATATTAAACAATTCAAATAGGTTTAATTCCTAATTACTTATTGGCCGCACCTCCTTTGTTTTGTCCGCCATCTCTTTTATGGTTTATCTTTATGTTTGTTTTTATATCCCCCCCTAAATGTGTGCGTTTGGGTGTGTGCGTGTTTCCAGGGGCCCATCATTCGCGTTCTCTCCCTATCCCTTTTCGCATGCTGCACTTGTCTCTCCGCGAAGAGAGGCGTTTTGGGGGGCACGAAAGGACTAAAAGGGAGAAATGGAGACATGAAGATTCTCGTAAACAACCGAAAAAAAAAAACAACAAAAAAATAAAATAAAAGGCCGACCCACTCGCATTCTTCTCGCTGAAAACGTAACCTCAAATGTTTGCGGCCGCCTTTCGCCTTCGTCTTCGTTTCGTTTCGTTTTCTTCGCCATTCGGGTTGTCGCATTCGCTCACCGTCTGCCGGCATCGTTCTTGTTGTTGTTCATTCTGTTGTTCTTGCTCCTCTGTGTGTATGTTAATTTTATATGTTTTCCATTTTCAAACGGCCCACCAGCCCCCGCTTTTCGCCTTTCCTTGCGCTTTTCGTTTTCCCTTCGCGGGAGGCGCTATAATTCTGTCCACAAGTTCTCCAGATATGTATATTTCTGATATTGTTAAACAAACCGATCAACAATGTAACCAGATTTTAAAAATGGAATTCGATTTAGTTGGTTTCCATTGCAATAGTTTCAATTTTTGTAATTTATAATCCTAAATTAGTATGTAATGATTTCAATATATTAATCTAATATATTAATCTAAAGATGCATTTTCTAAATAAGCCTTATATAACTTGTATGTTTTAGTCTTTTGGTTTCAAGTTCAATTGTCGTAATCTTGATTTATAAGAAAACCTTTTTGAAACTGCAACAGCATAAAACCCATTGTTATCGCATGTCAACTTTTTGTTACGGTTGCTAAGCACTTACGAATAGATAACGACTAAATAGTTATGTATTGATATTCGCTGATAAAATTAACCTGCATCGTAATTTATATCCACTATATTTCTTACTATGTACCCAATGTATGTACATAAATCAGGTATTTAGAGTATTGACGCAATCGATCTTGAAAGAAAGAAAATTTCATTTTCCGTATTTTTCGCGCATGATTCAGCTCTGCGTTGTTCTTCTATGGATAGTCTTCTTCATTTACTTGTTCTTGGGGCTCCTGTTCCTCAAACGAGAACCCTCCCCCATTCCCGCCCCTTGGCATCGACTTTGTTATTGTTTTCGTAATGAGGAAATCATGGCTAATATTTGTCTTCGTCGTCTTTCAGTATTAGAAGAAATTGTTTTGCTTTTATTCGCCCCTTGTGCGTTTTATTTCGTTGTTTATTATTATGTGCCCTGTCTGCTGTCTGTGTTATCGGAATCTTTTCTTTACCATGACCAGCTCAAAGTTTTTAATCGCACAAAAGTACAGTGGTTCGAGTGTCCATCAAATGGGAATCAAAACTTTACCTTTTCGCAAGAGGTTGAATCAAACGTAATATGATTCGAAATTGACCATTACTCAAGAATTTTTTTTCGCAAGAACTCCGGCCGTTTACTAATCACAGTTTAAAACTTTAATTTCTCATTGCAGTTTGTGTATATTTTCATCATTAAAACGTCGTGTAAATTAAAATTCATCCTAATTATAATTAATAAACTACATTAATAAACGGAAATTCCACAATTCTCAACAAGAAATCTGTAAAAATTCAAGTTTTAACCAATTCTCATACGTAATTAAATAAATAAAGTTCAGTTTTGTTAAGTCCCAAAAAAACAACAGCTGTGCAACTGTGTAAAATATTATTCATAATTTTGTGTAAATTTATGTAAAAAACACAACACCAACCACGACAACCAAACGAAGAAAATTCAATTTTTTTGAGCAAAAAGTGTATGAAAAATCTCAGCAAAGCATGTAAAATAAATGTTAAATATATTAAGCAAAAAGTGTGGTTTCTTTTACAAAAAAAAAAATAAAAGCAACAAAAAAAAAAACAAGTGTAAATCTGAAGCGAAAATTTTTTAAAAATACATGTAACATTTGTGAATATTTCCAAGCGAATCGTGTTGAAAAACGTGCGTGTGTGGTTTTTTTTGTGCTGCAAGTAAAAATCCAATTCAAGTTGGCAATACGCGCAAAATTGTCGGCTGCGATAGCTAGGAAAAGCCTCCAAAATTGAGCTCCTAACCGCGCCCACAATTGCCATATCGACGCCCTCGCCGCAGCAGCAACACCAACAGCAGCAGCAGCAACAGCAGCAACTCTATCAGCAACATCAACAGCAGCAGCAGCAACATTACGGTCCGCCACCGCCCTACTTTCAACAGCTACACCAGCAACACCAACAGCAGCAGCAGCAGCAACACCAGCAACACATGAAGTTTTTGGGTGGTAACGATGATCGCAATGGCCGCGGAGGCGTCGGCGTTGCCACGGATGCCATTGTGGTAGGATCGCGCGGTGGCATTTCGCAGGATGCCACCGATGCAGCTGGTGCCGCCGCAGCAGCCGCCGTCGGCTATGTCTTCCAGCAGCGTCCATCGCCCGGTGGCGTCGGAGTGGGCGTGGGCGTGGGCGGAGTGGGTGGCGGTGTGCCTGGGGTGGGAGCCGTCGGCTCGACCTTGCACGAGGCCGCCGCCGCCGAGTATGCCGCCCACTTTGCCCAGAAGCAACAGCAGACCCGATGGGCGTGCGGCGACGACGGCCATGGGATCGATGTAAGTACTCCAGACTCCAAAATAAACCAGTTTTAGAACCACTGTAGTCTCATAATTAGGGATAATTTAAATAACTAAAAGTAAAATATATGTAGATCAATATATTTCAATGTTAGGTATACTTATAAACGAGAACCTTTTATAATTTTATAAACATTTTATAATAACTTATTAAATATACATTGGTTTGCTAGAACATTAAGGCAAAAGTGCCATAAAGTCTAATGAGATTTTAAAAATAATCAATTTAGCAACCGAAAAACGAAATTCTTCGTATAAAAGTGCGGTACTTTTATGCAATTAGTATTGATTGCGTTTTTTGCAATTAGCATCAGATGACAATTCTGTACTTTGCCCTTTCTAACTTTTGGCTTCCATATCGTAATTCGGTAACTTTTGCCAGTGCTGCTTCTTGATTAGACTTCGTGTCGCTTATTTCTGGGGTATGAA